AGCTGTGGACAACATGGGTCCAGCTCAGCTCAGTCTCCCAGCTATGGCCAACAAACATCTAGATCAAGACAATCTTCTAGGCAGAGGCACCACAGTTCTTGCTCAAGAGGGTCTTCAAGTTTTGGACAAGGGTCTGGTTCAGGAGAATCCTCTAGCTTTAGTCACCATGGAACTGGCTTAGGCCAGTCCTCTAATAGTGGACAACATGGCTCATACTCAGGACAGTCATCCATCTGTGGCCAACATGGGTCCAACTCAGGACAGTCTCCCAATTATGGTCAGCATAGATCTGGTTTAAGTCAGTCTTCTAGCTATGGACAACACACAGCTGGATCTGGCCAGTCTTCTATTCATAGGCAACATGGTCCTGGTTCAAGAGAGTCTTCTGGTTTTGGTCAACCCAGTTCTGGCTCAGGTCAGTCTTCTAGCTTTCATTATGGGTCTGGATCAAGTCAATCTTCCAGTTTGGGGCAACAAAGATCTGGCTCAGGAGAATTTTCTGGCTTTGGTCAACATGAATCTTGTTCAGGAGGTTCTTCTGGCTTTAGTCAGAATAGATCTGGCTTAGATCAAACTTCTGGCTATGGACAACAGGGTTCAATATCAGGACAGTCATCATGCCATGACCAACCTTGGTCCAGCTCAAGCCAATCTTCCCACTATGGTCAACATGGGTATGGTTCAAATCAGTCTTCTAACTCTGGCCAGCAGAGATCTGCCCCAAGTCATTATTCTAGCCACAGCCATCTTGGATATGGCTCAGGTCAGAATTGTAGCTCTCAACAATACGGGTCTGGTTCACGTCCTTCCTCTATATCTGCACAATCTTATTCTGGATCTGGTCAGTGTTCTAGTTCTAAACCGTATGTGTCTGGTTCTTGTCCCTCATCTATCTCTGGACAATGTCGTTCTGGATCTGGTCTGTGTTCTAGCTCTCAACAATATGAGTATGGCTCATGTCACTCATCTAGATCTGGATCATGTAGCTCTGGACCCAGTCAGTGTTCTAGTTATGAGCAACATGAATCACAAGGGAGATGTGGAAACCAGTGTGAATCAAATTGTAACCATTCAAATTATAATGAAGGACAATCAAGAAGCAGTTACAGACCAGCAGAAAGTTCCTCGGGTTGTACCTTTGGACAATTTACACCATGTTATGGA